CAAACCTGGTCCCTTTTAGATCTTCCACCTGTTGCTCTAAATCACTGATTTGTGTTTTAAGGATTTCAATTTGTTCCACTGCACTCACTTCGGCGGGTTCTATGTTTTCGTTTTCCGGTTCGTCCGTAGCCATTTCTTCCATTTGCTCATCACTAGCACTGGCTCCCTGGCCTCCTGATCCAGTCTCCCCTTCCTCCATTTTGACATCCTGCTGGAATGAATCGACAAAAGATTGTCGTCGCTCCTCTTGTTCTTGCTGTTCTGCCATAGTTTTTAACTCTTGTAGTTTATTTTGTGGGCGGTCTTGGCTCGACTTCGTCCATTGAAACTGCGAAGGCATAACTCCTGGTTTCAGACGTATAAGCCCTGTTATAGGTTTAAACATATCGCTTGACTTGAAGTGAGCAGAACACACTAGAGTAGAGCCTTTCTTGATCTAGGAAACGAGTTTAACACTCTGAATTAAATCGCTGATAACAAGGGAGAATCTCATGGAATATTAATAATCATATTCGAGTCAATGAAAACAAACAAACCGGTGCCATGTGCGTTTGACAGTTTCGGCCAAAATCGACCAAAATCTAATGTAATGAGTCTATAGTTCCTCTGGATATGAATCGAGTACGCAATTCACGTGTAAGAAGCAAGTAAGACGGGAACTAACTGAGTCTTAAATCGAAAAACTTCCCGAACATATATATCAAAAGTGCACACGTGCGTTTGACAGCTCGCTGTAGTCACGACTCGACACTCACCTGAAAAAGCGTCCCTTCGTCTCGCTTTATCGCGGCAATCCACTTCGATCTCTGTGAAGAATTTTTAGGAAAGTTGAAAAACGACAAATTCTGACCACTTTCGTTTCGTTTGTCGTTCGTACAGTAATTTACACAGCAATGATCGTGAGCCATATTTGCGAGTTATTTCCACTCAAACTCCATGTAATGCAACCCTCCAAATGACCGCATGCCCGTCCAGCCTCGTTTTGGTGCGACACTCGATCCAAGATGGCGGTGCGTGATATCGGAGTATACCATCGTTAGCTGTTTCCTTCGCGACCAGGCATCAAGTTCATTTATTTGCGTGCATGGTGATGTTGATTCTTTTTACGTACTTTTCATTGTTGATTTGAAAACGTTGCAATTAAAAATGAGTTCGCTTGCTCACAAAATATCTGTGATTTCAGTTTTTGAATATCTGACAAAGAAATAAATCCGAACCAATCGATGCTGTTTTTAAACTTTAAGAGGTAATTTGCACGACAAGAATTAAAACGTGTATTATTTTCAACGTCTTTTAATTCCAGATTTTAAAATGCTTAGAATACGCAGATTAGAAGAAATGACCAAATTACACACTCAACCATATATAGTTGATCAAATGCGATTTTAGAAAAGAATCTCTACATCACATCAAGTTTAATTCAGAAGGATTTATATTTATGGAACGTTCTAAGCTACTAGCTAGAGTTCCTAAATGTTTTTACTTATTTCTACAGATTTTACGTTTTCTGATGATTTTTTTAAGCTTCACTATCTTAGGGCTATCAATCAAGCGTTTTAAGATTATATCAAAATATATAACTTAGGATATGTAAGTTTCACCGTGTGAAGAAATAAAGACTGTAGTACATTATTTATGCATTTACGTCAATAGCTATTCGATAGCGTTGTAACCCAATAGGTTGCAAACCTACTATACTCGAGGATTTTCAAGCCTTCAATGATTATTCATTTTCATATTTGCCAGTGAAGCTTCTTACACACGATTGATAAGCATTTAAGACTGTAAAGGTATGGAGGTGTAAGCTGGGAACCTAATTTTATCACAAATTGGTAAACAACTTCACAACAACTTTATTTTGCATATCTTGATAATACAAAAAAACTAACCAAAACAAAACATATCAAAAGAAAAAACATGTGTCCCAAACTAGGATAGATACGAACGGAAAATGCTATTTGTAAGCTCCTACGAATTGTCAGAGAAACCCTGAATAAAGAAGGATTAAAATATGATTTCGGTCACGGTATGGCAAGGAAATGAGCGTACTTTGACCCTTAATTGTCTGCACTGTTCTAACATCTGATGAAACTGCAAATTGATCAAAATGAACGATGAAAAAGTCTTAAATTTCCCTCACGCATGAATAGCAAATACCGAACTTGGAAAATTCGCCATAAATTTTGCTCAAATAGATGGCGACTGATCATTAAGCTGCTTACCTATCAGTCTGTAAAGGAAAAGTCCGAGACACTAAGGTAATTTTTTTATTCGTTTCCCTCTCGATTTAAAATCTCTAAAATACAAAGCCAATAGTTTTGTATAAAAATGCGCAGAAACACTTTGTTTTCACTTTTTATTGCCTAACCTCTTTCGTGTTGAAAGAAATTGAGACAGTTTAAGTAATCTTTGATAAATCTTAATTGTCTTGTTTATTGGATTTAACCTGTTGGCTGGATCGCCTTTGCAGGTTGAATTACTGCCAGAATAAAGTCGTTGAATTTCTGATCCATTACGTAAACGGGTTGCTGCCACCTTCAAGTCGCTTCAAGGCAGAATTTCTTCTCACAGGATCAACACAATATCAAGCAGTCGAGTGTTGAGAATATGGAGAAATATCAATAAGGGAATTATTTATTGCAGGAGCCAATACAAAATTCCTCAAAATAACACCATAATGATTGAATGGCAGCCAGTAAGGAGAATCTCTTATGAGATCTTGAGAGTAAAAGGCCGGTTAAGGGGTTATCATGGCTATCTGTAGAATGCCTCTCAATGCCTCTCAATGCCACCCAAAGATCTAGAAAGAAAGAAAAAACAAAACAAAAATAGAAAGAACTTTAATTCTGCAAATTTTTCAAAATAAAATTATCTTAAAAGCATTTTCTAATTTCTGTATGAGGAACTTTGGCTGTTATTGTTACAACCTTTCCAGAAAAAATGAACTGACCGGGACTCCCAAATTAAGTTTGTTCCGATACGCAAATAATTCAGCTTTGTGGTAATGCTTGATTGCCAAGGCTGGGATTACGTGGGACTAAGCATCGAGGAGATAAATAAACGTTTTAGGAATTTTAAGCATATCATTGTGCGGAAGCTGCTCTTGACAAGACTCCGCAAGTATCATTTCTTGCGGTGTGCATGCCCATGGGGCAGGGGATAAGTACTCCATAGTGAGAGGCTTATCGGGCTTTCCCGCTGTATTGGGTCGCATCTGATTTGGATTGACTATAATGGGGTTGCATTTTTCAATATGGTTATTAGAATGGGGTCGCAGGTCTTTCGAGATTTTTGGGGTGAGAATATTCTCGTAAGTAGGGATTTAAAAATGGGAACATTTACTGTCAAAAAGTTTTCACAGTATTTCGTGCTGTTGTCTAACAATCGGCTGGCATTAGAGCCAATGATTTTTTTGTATATGTGCAGAAGAAGCTTTTCCCCTTAATCTTTTTAATTAACTTCCTTGCGTTTTAAGAGTAATCATGCACGGTCATATTTTATTGGACAAAACCTTTCCGTACAGTGTCCTCAAGGACTGAACATCCTTATTATTGGACAAAACCTTTCCGTACAGTGTCCTCAAGGACTGAACATCCTTAGGTACAAAGATGTGGAATCTCCGATCCATTACGAAAACGGAAAGCAAGCTTTAAGCATTATTCTGGGTCACTCACGGCTGACGCTGAGAAAGTGAGATTGAAATAACTCTAGCTAATCTTCTAGTTTGTAATGAGTATTTAGAGTCCTCGACAAGCAATCAATATCGAGATAAGCCTGGGTATGGGCGGCAGGGAGAGAATAGATTAAGATAAAGAAAGATAAAGTTAAGATGGATTTAGTCATCGTGTGATAAAAAAATAATAATAATAAAAAAAAAATTAGAATTCAACTGGTGAGGTTGGACCTTTGGCCAATAGGTTTATTAACTCGTTAGCCAGGGAAGCAGGTGTTCGGCGAGAACGCTTGAAATTAATATAATGATGCATGTTGTTTCTCATGCGCGTGACTTATTATACACATGCACTGGTCTAAGACACTCGCCGAGGAAATCGAGAGTTAGTGGCTGCTAGTTTGGCGGTTTGATGTGTGTTTTATTTTGAGAGAATATTTGCGTCACTTGTAAGTAAGAAATATGTTTACTTTGGACGTAGCCGTGTATTAATGAAAATTTAAAAAAAAGAAAAAAATTTAAAAAAAGTATTTTTTTCCAATGCAAGCTTAGTGACTATCGCTCAAAACTAGCTTAAAAGTACATCATTTAAGTATATGTATACGGAAATGTGATTTTGTAAATGAAAGTAGTATGTTTAAGAATTAGTAACTGATAGATTCCAACAGTTTAGGCGTTTGGAACTGACTAAACTGTGTCAGCTTCGCTCGGTGTAAAATCCTACGTGTTAAAGAACAATTCTGAAAATGTAATAGGAGTACGTTTCTAACGAAATTGTATTCGTGAGTCGTTGGGGGTACAACAAGATGGTTCTGTTTTATCAACTGAGTTGATAAATACGCTTCGAGTGTTATCGCTCGAAACGTTAGCTTCAAAAACTCTTTTCTTTGGCCAATTTACACCATCAACCAAATTAATTTAATTAATATAACACTGCTTATGGTTGTTTTTCCTGTTAGGAACTGATCGAAATAAAGCTAAAACATCTCCTTTTCTTTGTTCCCCCAGTGATCCCCAAGTGAGTTGCAGCAGGAAATATACTATTGTGCAATGCCCCTCCCTAAAGACTGAAAACATTTTTAAAAATTTAAAAAAGAAGAAAAAAAAAGTTTAAGTCTGCTGTTCTAAA